AAACAACACACACACACACACACACACACACATACACACACACATACATAACACACACACACACACATATATATATATATATATATATATATAACTGTGACTGTGTGATGAAGTTTGGATGGTGATGAGGGTATGCGAAATCACTATTCATTTTTCCTTATAGGAATTTTGTAGTATCTTCGTATATATATATAGCCGAGGCTCTAAACAATCAAATGAGAGCTCACCAAATGAATTTCTCTAGAAGAGGTTGTTTTGATGATCAAATATCCTCAAATTGATCATCTAGGCATCAAGATGCACGGACATGAGAAAAAAATGGATTTCTAGTTTTAGAAATAGTGCATCTTGTAACATATTTTTGGACTAACAATTTTCAAGATTTTGAAGTTTTCATAGATCTGCTGGATCTACACTATTTTTTAAGCTTTAAATTTTTATTATTAAAAATGAAAATATATTATAAGGCTATCATAAAGATTTCAACTATTGAAAACACATTTCTCAACTCTTTTTGAAGGTGTGCTTTACTTTGATTGTTTAGAGCCTCGGCTCTATACAAACCACACCCATATATGTGTGTGTGAGGCTGATTTCAACTGTCAGATCTGAGGTTGAGATGGCTTGAATCACAATGTCACAAGCTGGCTCCTAACTGTTTGATCCGACAACTCAGGGATTTTTATTTTTTATTTTTATTATATAAGTCATTTTGAAGCAAAATTTGGGGTATGCATAGATCTGACAAGGGCGCACATTATAATAATAATAATAAAATATTTTCAATGACAAATAATCTCCATAATACCCCTAAAACTTTTAGGGGCATTTTAGTCATTTATGTTTATGTAATATTTTTTTTTTTTCAGGTTCACCTTAATTTTATAAGGAACGCCCCAAATTTCATCGAACAAGGTTTTGTTGAAAAATAAAATGAAAAATAAAAGATTGTTTGGCATGATATTGTGGCATGAAGAATCGTAGCAGTAAAGAAGTGGGGTTGCTCCTCGTGAATTAGAAGACAACCAAGTGAAAGTGATCGTACACATGGTTTTAAGGCAAAAGAAATGCACCTATCGTGTTGCTTATATTTCACCATACCTTTTAGGATGCTTTATTTGGTCCCCTAATTTTATCACGTTTTGCATCCTTATATCATATCAATTATGTAAGAGCTTTCAAATTATGCACTATGAACCCTAGGGAAAAAGGAAATTAGTTATTACTTTTCCAAAATAACAGAGAAAAAACTAAACTTTACGCCAAGGACTTCATTTCCTTCATGAAGTGGCTGTTACCTATTGCCTTTATCGATGCCTATTTTTGTTCATCTTTTCATCAGGTGGGCCCAAATATCCAATTATCTCCCTGGACGTACAGACAATGAAATAAAGAATTATTGGAATTCTCACCTCAAGAAGGGGGCATGGAAGAAAGAACAAATTGAAAAGTCATGGACTCTCAAGGCCCAAGAGAGAACTCCATCAAACAGTATAGTCCCAGAAGAGCAGCACATAATATATGAGGAGCCTAAACTCTTTCAAGGAGAGGTTGGACCCAATTACAATTTCAACAACCTTTATTTTGGTGATTCTCAAGTAGTATTAAATGAGAATTCTAATATTTATAACCAGCCACTCGGAGGGGTAGTCCATGAGAACCATCTTATTGCAATGACACCCTGGGTTCCACCAGATGATGGCCCCCTACAAATGGAGTCCATTATTTTCCCACAACTGAATCCTTTAGATGTTTTTCACCCAGGAATGAGCATGGGTTTGCAAGGATTGGAAGCATATAACTCTCTCAACAATGGGGAATTTTAAGTTTCTACTGTTATGCATGTAGATTGCTTTGAGAAAGTTTCCTTAATAATGGGGAAGATGTATACAAATTGAATACAAGAAGAAAAAATTAACTAATGTTATACTTATTGGATGTATGTTAGATATGCTGCTATATGACAATCTATGTAACAAATTAAGGTTGGAGTCCCTGCCCATCTATTGTCTTTATAAATTGTGATCTTATGTAGAAACAATAAGAATAATTCATAGACAACTTTTTACAGTTTGCATTGCTGGTATTCTTAGAACCCTACAATCTATAGTGCGATGTGAAATTTGCAGAAAAAATTTGTTTTATTTGTGGAATTCTAAAGGAGTGTGATATTTTTCATATTTTAGTTGGGATTTTATACTATGAGACCATTTACCATTATTACAAGGATATCACAATAACTCCTAGCCATTACATGTCAAATTCGATGGCTTAAGGTGTGTCATGGAAGTCCAAGAGTTTTTTTTTTTCTACACTTAAAACCACCTTGCTTAAAACTTGACTAACAAGAATGATTTTGACCCCCTTGTGTTAAAAGTAACTGATCTCTTGTATGCATTTGTTTCATACTTTAAGTCTTATTTTTTAAATGCATATATGTATTTAATTTTATCATTGTTGTATATGTCGAATTAAACCCAAATTTGGCATATCCATATTTCTCACCATTACACATGTATAAAAAATATTAAAAAATAAGTTAAAATAATTGAACCAAAATACAAATAAATATTGCAGGGGTATTTTTGGTATTTTGAATATTATTTCAACATTATCTATGGCTGTGAGATGGTAGATGTGTAGGAAAAAAATATAAAATTAAAATACACTTTATGCTCACAATATTTGGATCTAAGAATAAAATATGAAATCCATGGGACGATTTCAAATTTGAAAAATAAAATAGGATTTTCCTATATATTTCTCACTAAGAAATAAAGGTTGGAGTCCTCATCCATCTATTGACTTTATATCGTGTCCTTAACTTGAAACAATGGAAGGAATTCCTTGATGACATCTAAAGGTTGCACGGATTTCTGCTCTTAAGATCTTAGGAAAATTTAAAGAACTTTTGACACTATTCAAGTGCGAGCTATGGCTCCTACTCAACCTAAAAGTGTTATTAGAATAGGACTGACCGCCGATTGGTTTGTTGAAATTAGGATTATTCATCGACTTCCATCTGGCCCGGTTGGACCGAGTTTTAAGAGCATAAGGAATGCATATCATGAGAGGTGCCTTATTTAGTTGATCATTACCAATCACTATAGTTAAATATATGTCAAAACTTATTTTTGCTTTGGATGAAACCAGAGCACCAATCCAATCTGACCTTACAACATTACTTAAAGGTTAGACCTTACAATGCTACTTAAAGGTTATCATGGTTTGTGATAGTGTTTAAAAAATCGTTGATTCAGATCAGAATTATCTGACTCGAATAGAGAATTGTTTAGAGAGATTCGGATCCCAAAATATATCAGGATCCATAAGAAACGGGTTTTTCCACATTAATTTAATAAATTCTAGAATAGATTCTTTAAGATTGAAACAAGAACAAAAGATGTTTCAATAACAATAAGGAAAATTTTTTACTTTTTGAATTAGGTAAATCATTTGATCTATCATTCATTAGAACAAAAAAAAGAAATGCCTAGCCTGAGTATTGGCCAGGCCGGGGAACAAAATAACTTTTCGGGTGAAATAAGAAAAAGAAAAGGTACTCTTTCTTTTTCTTTTGAAAATCTCTGTTTTAAGTTTCAAATTATTATTTCTTATATAAAAAAGATTCTTATCGGTCTTTACGTGTTAACAATGTAAATTCTCCTTTTCCAATCCAATTGGAGAGATGGATGAGTGGATTAAGGCGTCGGATTGCTGCTTATTGTAGCGACGGTTCTAATACCTCTCTTTCCGTTCCCTATGATGATTTGAGATTTCTCTTTAAAAATTTGAAACCCGATTTTTTTTTTGTTGATCAATATCAGAAGCATCCAACTCTTTCCGTTCCCTCTGGGGATTTGAGATTTCTCTTTTAAATTTGAAACCCTTTTTTTTTTTTGTTGATCCATATCAGAAATTTTTCCGTTCCCTCTGGGGATTTGAGATTTCTCTTTTAAACCCTTTTTTTTTTTTGTTGATCCATATCAGAAATTTTTTTTTTTTGTTGATCCATATCAGAAATCATCCAACTCTTTCCGTACCCTCTTGATGATTTGAGATTTCTCTTTCAAATTCGAAACCCGACTTTTTTTTTTCGCTTCGTCTAAAGAGATCCCAAAACATATCGGGACCTCTTTTTTGCTTCGTCTAAAGAGATCCCAAAACATATCGGGACCTCTCGTAGAGGTCAACAACCAATTAACCTCCCACGAAATCAACAACTAAATAACCATAGGGTAAATGTTCTGGCTTTTATATAGTCATTTTATCCTCCCATTGTGAGATGTGGGACAATTCCTGTATCTTTTAAAGTGTGAACACAGAGTGTGCGTTTAATACACGGCTCATTTTGATGGTCCATGACCACATAATATGTTATAAAATAGTTTCTTGTCTCTAGCTTGTTTTTTACTACATGCCAAGTTTTCAAATTTTTTATTTCTTTACCATAATAAACGGAGTGGGGCAACTTAAGGGAATGAACATGCCATTTTTTTTATTTGAATTTTAATATCTTTATTTTCCATTTTTCATGGTAAAGTCTTTTTTAATTTTCTTTTAGTGTCATAATATTAAAATTTATGAGGGGTTTATTTTTTTAATCATATTATGAAAAAATGAATTATTGAGTATGTCAATTAATTAAATAATATTAGTGAGCGTGTCAATTAATTTATAAATATTAGTGTGTCATGTTTCCAAATTAGCATGTCATTTTCAATAAGCCTCATCAACATATTTTTTAATTAAATGAATTAATTAGAGTGCCAAATTAAAAAAAAATGCCATATATAAATTTTTTCTATTTATGCCATATTTGAGTGGTGAATTATTTCTATATATATTTTTATTTTTATTCTTTTATAACTATTGTGCATGTTGCCGATAGGATTTGTTTTCTTTTAATTTTGATATCTTTAGTTTTCATTTTTTTGGATAAAGTTTTTTGAAATTTTTTAATATTATAAAATTAAAATTTATTGGGGATTTAATTTTTATTTTTAATCATATGTTATGAAAGCATTTTCCAATAATTTTTTAATCATGTTTACTATACTATTATAATTAATAATTATATATTGATAACCAAATTTTATATTTTATTTATTACTTTATTTATATTATAAAATATGAAATGTATTCTTTCTCTTATAGTTGTAAATAATTTTTAAAATTAGATGATATTATAATATATTTTAGATTTGTTCTTATTTGTATAGTAAAATGATTATAAAATATAAACCAACAATTTCAATTTCATTATATAATATGATAGTTAGTTAAGTTGTGATAATTTTGGATAAGTAAAGTGTATTAATAATTATTTAATACTTTGATATGATTCTAATTTCACTTTAAAAAAAAATTTATTATCTTTTTATAATATTATAATACTATATTATAATTAATAATTTTATAGACAGACCCCGTATTTACCTTTTTTACAAAGTAAAGAAATGCATCACTCCTAATTACATTTAGAAACTAAAAGAACACTATTTTAAAATATTTATAGTAATTTTTTGAAATGATTTTGAGACAAAAATTGCAAATTCCACCGATTCTCCAATCAGACACATTGATTCTCTCATCCGACATGGGTATGGGTGTGACCGATTCGAGTCACCGATCCAATTTTTTAATCCTTGGTTTGAGAAAGTCTTTAAATTGTTTTACAATATACTCCTCAAGGCCCGTTGAAGATTGTACATTTGCGATTCAGATTGCCAAAGAGAATTTGTACAAGACCATCTCTCTCTGGGCTTCATACCCCATGATCAAATTTGTACAAGAGTTTTCAGTGGTCAATAACCATATGATCACCGTTCTCTCTATCGTCCTGAACGTCCCATCCTTAAATTTCTATCGGTGTTCTAAGTGGTCAGTGAATTTGAGAACATCTTTGTTGGGATTGCTTGAATCCCAGGAAGTACTTTTCTTTTTCTTTTTTTTCTGGTTTCCTATTCTTAGGGGGCTTGTTTAGTTCTTATGTATGTGTCGGGAACAGTATAGGATTGCCCGGGGCTCGGTACCCGGCCATTTGCGTGGTCCCGGTAACCCAGCCTGAGTTGGCGGCGCTTTTGTGCGCTCAAAAAGGGGCAAAAAATCCCTTTTATGACCGTGCCCCTGAGAGAGAGATGGGGAGAGTGAACGGCGGAGAGTCAGAGAAGAAGAGCTGGGACCCTGTTGCCCCTGCACGAACACTAGAGAGAGAGAAGAGGGAGAGGAAGCTAGTGAGAGGAGGATAAGCCCCTAAGCTACTGAAAAACAGACTCGCCACGTGAGCGAGTTCAAGTAATCTGCCTGATTCGGTACGACCCGGCCCCTTTTTTCAACCGTGGTTACGAATTATAGGGAATACCTTTTTTGTTTTTGCCGGTACGGGAATCCGGACAATAAGAAGCATATTCTCCCATATCTGAATACGATATGTGGGTCACTGTGTTTATCACCCACATGGAAGATTTGGGTGTTTACTTTTTCTCTTTATTAATAGATGTTTTGTAAAGAGAGACAAGGCAAAGAGAGTTTATGGATTGTGTGCAGGGTGTAGAGAGAGGCTTGGTAAGATTGTCTCTCTTAGGTAAGAATCATATTATACTTTTCTCTGTTGAGAAGTGAAAAATGATCAATCGCTTGATTTTCTTGCTTTTGTTTGATTTTCTTGCTTTTGTTTTGCTTTTTGTTGCCTCCTGTTGTCATTTTCTTTCTCGCTCTTTACTTTGCCTGTTTTTTTGTTTTTTGTTTTTTGTTTTGACAGTATACTTTGCCTGGTATTAGAGCTGGTTTTGGACAGACATGACGGCTGTGATATTTTGAACAAAAATCTTAGGGTGGAGAAGTCATGAACAAACAACTTTGTAACCGAACATAGCAATGTTGGTTAGAAGGATTTACTAGTATAACAAAGTCTAAATAGAAACATTAACAGAAAAATAAAAAGAAACGAAACTGGAGTGCATGTTAAATGAGAATTTAGAGG